ATTAAGGTATGTGTACATTAAGGCTTTAGCTTTTGATCATGGTTGGTAGTAGCTTCTAATTTTGGTTTGTGGAAATCATCTTGAGGTGTCTTTTTAAAAGAGGCTATTTGTGCAGCACGTATTGAACTGCCTGCAGAAGCAAAAGATGGCCAAGATGATGAATCAAATTGAAGCCCTGATAAACTAAGGGATTTTTGAATAGATGGGTCTGAGTACAACCTCTGTGCCTCAAAAAGCGTAAGCAACGGATAATGAATGTTCCTAAAGGTCTAGGTAGCAGGAAGGGAGGGGAGGATCTTTTTTGCTATACTGTCTCCTTCACTAACAAACTGCTCCTCATGGTGCTTTAGGAACTCCACGGAGGTGAAGGCATTCTCCCTCTGACAGTTTCATTCAAGAACCCAGAATGTGGAGGGCAGTGGCTAGCGCCCTGCTGAGGACCAAAGTCCGCAGGAGCAGGGCACGCTGCCTGCTGCCGGCACATAAGGGCAGGACCCTGCTCACTGGGACCACTCAGCACGGCGCTGCTCCGGGGCTCTGCACCGCCTGGCCTCTCAGCATGAGTCCAGGGATACGGAAGGTGGAAGCTTTGGATGCGGGTCACTTGGTCCGTGTGGAGTGGGACGATGGGAGCGAGAGCTGCTACCCCTGCGTGTGGCTGAGGGACAACTGCCAGTGCCCCCACTGCTTCCTGCACTCAGCCAGGGCACGCAAGCTGCTCTTTGAGGACCTGGATGTGAACATCGTGGTAAAGGAAGTCTTTCTGGCAGATAGGAAAAAGGTATTTGAATGAACCTGCATTTGCTGTCCCGTGAGACTTGTCCAGCACTGCTTGTTAAATCACAGCAAACCCCAGGTTATACTGTGATCACAGGCTGCTTATCTGCAAACCCTACTGTGTATTCACAAAGCTTTTAGGAATAATTGCAATTTGGGGAACTCAGATCTTCCCACCTGTGCATGAAACTTCTCTTTATAGATACTGTGCAGAGGCTAAAGAAACCCAGGCTTTAGTTTTTAGACTACAACCGTGCTTTTTAAAGTTCTGCTCTATGTTTCTTCATCACGAGATGTTGGAAAGAAAATATAGACATTCCCCACACGTTTTATTACACTTACACTTTCTTCCCCCTCTATATTCTGTAAGTAAAGGGCTTAAAAATCAGAAAAACACATGCCAAAGTGATGATCTTAATCCATAACAAAAATATCAGTTTATTAGCTAATTTCCAATGTGCAAAAGATTTAATCATAGAGCAAGCATTCAAACCTAAGTTGGACCCGATATTCAGAGTTGGTCTAGTGTCTTTATCTACCTACTTGCATTAGTATTTGTTTGTGAAAAAGAGGAGGCTATTGGGCAGAAGAGGATAGGAACTGTCCTCCCTATGAATTTTAATCTTTCCTGCCATATAAAAAACTAATGTATCATTTAGATTTTATAGGTTTTATTAAAAGCAGGACATGTGTCCTTTGATATGCAAATTCTTTTCCTTCATTTTACACTTGAAGATGTTTTAAACAAGTTAAAGATGCATCAGTCAACCCTGGAGCAGCTGGAGCAGCATCACTGCAGGCCGAGTTTGCAGGGGCTCAGTCATGGGGTTAGGGTCTATACTGAGGAATTCTGATCTCCCAGGTTAATTGTTTGTTGCCAAAATTAATGCTGTGTAAATTCATTATTTGAATAGGCAAACGTATTATGATAGTAAAGGGATTGTCTGCTTCCACTTATACTCAGGAACTGATGAAACACAGCTCTAATCCTAACCTGATACTTGTGTTTTACCATCATGTGAAGAAGGGGAATTATGTGAAATTGGGAGCAACATCCTTGAGAGTTCAGCCACACAGAATGTGTGCTGCACAGAGCCCGTTCAGTTCATGGCAAGCAAAGCCACATAGTTGCTTTCCTTTTTTTTTAGGAATTAAAAATGCAACACCTTTATAACATTTATTTGAAAGAGGGAAGACTACAATACCAGGGGATTTCTCTCCTGACATTCCTTTTCTGTCCATTCGTTTTGTCCTTTTTCTACTTTAACGAGCTGTCAGTGTTTTGGAAGATATTTTTGCTCTCTCCTGGGTTGTGGTGAAGCGCTCTCCCCAGTGACATGTGCCAGCTTCTGCGATTCTCCTCTTTCTGCTAAGTGCAGCTACCACACTGAAAGCAGCCCGCACAAAACAGCACATTAGGTCATGGGTTCATGTGAAAATGAGCATTTCTAAAAGGTGTCAGAATTTGGATGATGTTCAGGTTGGGTTTTCATTACTTGTTTGTCATTCTGCTCCACAGAAAGCTTAACTCTGATATTATTGGTCTAAATACGACAATTTTTGCAGTTTCTAAGGGTTTGTTGATTTTTGGGGAGGGGGGTTGCAATTTCTAACAAAATTCTAATTTTGTTCTAAAATTATCTTTTCTTTTATGATGGAAGATCTCTATTACATGGCCCGATGAACATGCAAGCGAATATGAAGCTGAGTGGTTGAAAAAGCGATGTTTCTCTGAAGAAGCCAGGGCAAAAATGCAAGAAGCTTTATTTTTACCAGGTAGGAATTAAACCCGCATCTATCATGCTTGTCGCAAATGCAAGGGGTCTGACACTTGACAGTCCCTGAGGACCAGCTCCACCCAACTGTAGTGGTGGCAACCACTCTTGGTCCTCAGTGGCAGGCTGGACATGCACAGCAGGAACCTGTGGTTACCCTTTCCCTCTCCTAACCTCTGGACCTCAGAGGAGTTCAACTGGTTGGGTTGTGTTTACTTACTTACTAAAAGCCTTTTCTTCCCAGAAAGGTTTAGTAGGTCTCAAAGACGAGCCTTGCAGAACAGCAGTGGTCTATGTTACAATGGAAGTGTGTGTGCTGTTTCAGTTATCGACATTTTTATTCTTTAGAAAGATTGTTTAGGATTGCAAGGGTCTTACAACTGAAATAATAATACAAAAATCCCTTTCCGTGGCCTTCTGTTAAAAAGTAACTATAACATAGCAGTGCCTAGTGCTGAAGTTCAGGTTGTGTTTGTTCTATGTCCCATACTTGTTGCTGTGGTTGGCTGTCTTTTGGTCATGAAGCATTTTGTGCAACAGGCAGTGTAACATTTACCCAGAACAAATCCCTCACCCTTTTGAGTGAATAATCTTTTCTTTGGCAGCTTTTCAGATTATGAACATAAAATGTGTGCAAACTTTAAAGATTTCTGCTGTTGCTCTTGACAGTGCTTCTGTGAGATCTGCTGCTGCAGAAAATTATGGGTCTGTATTCAGAGTTGATGTCTCTTAAAACAGGATTACTTTAGAAAAAAGAAACTAGAGGCAGACTGATGGGGTGAAACTCGGATCCAGGTATCAGTTTCCTCAAAGATAAAAGGCAAATTCACAATCGGTTTATGCTCCATTTCTGGGTGTGTTTTATTCTAACAAAGACAAGAAGGTTTGTTTGCTTGGTTGTTGGTGGTTTTTTTTTTCCCCCCTGAAAGATAAGAAATGGGAAAACATGTGGCCCTGGGTATCTCCTGCATCTGAGCTTTGTTTGGCACTTGAGGGACAGCTGAAGGGGTCAATTATCTTTCCCAATTTCTGCAGGTCAAAAATTCCTTAGCTCCTAATACCTGTTCTAAACAAAAGCCGGTTCTTAAGATTCAGCCTTTTATATCTGGCTTGAAATGATGAATATGATGAATAATATTTCCGTTCATTTCAGTGGATCCTGTAACAGATTCCTTATAGTTCAGAATGGAACTTTTTTCCCCCAGTGATAGGAAAGTTCATATCTACTTTAGCTTTGGCAAGAATAAACTACAAAATTTTAGAGGGTTGGGCATGTTGCCAGAATGAACAGAGGGAAGATGTAGACCTCGTTCACGGAAAGTAGACTTGATTTCTTGGGTAGTAAGAATTTTTATTTGGAAAAATGAAGATGCTGTGGAAGACAGCGAGATGTTTTGTAGCCTTTGAATGGATCCATGTAAACCAAAGGTTGCTTTAATAAATGCCCAGGCAAATTAGTCTAGCTCCATGGTTACGTTTATTATTACCAAAGGTATCAGTAACTGAGGTTCCAGTATTTTAGATATAATACTACTTTTATTCCCCATTATGAAGTCTAACTGGCTGTGATTTGCCTTTGTATGTACATATTTACAGAGTGTTTATTCTCAGCATTTAAATGAAATGTTTCCGCTCTTCTCCAGTGGAACCGTTCAGGTAAAATATACGCCAAAGATCCATGTTATTCTTTGGGCATATGCTTTTGCAAATTCTGGTTTCCATGCTAGATCTGAAGAAATAGGTTTATAAAAATTACACTGGATAAGGGCCTGTGTTAACTTTGGCTTCGTTTTAGTAGTGTCATTCTGCTCTTCCTCATATTCTCAGAGAAGCTCTTCTCCAGTGGAACCGTTCAGGTAAAATATACGCCAAAGATCCATGTTATTCTTTGGGCATATGCTTTTGCAAATTCTGGTTTCCATGCTAGATCTGAAGAAATAGGTTTATAAAAATTACACTGGATAAGGGCCTGTGTTAACTTTGGCTTCGTTTTAGTAGTGTCATTCTGCTCTTCCTCATATTCTCAGAGAAGACTTGGCTCGCTGTGGATGGTCAGCTTCTCCCAGCTTTTCTCAGGTTTCAGTTGCAGAAGAGGCTGTGGTTAGAAAGCATGTGGGTTTGCTTGTTGGCTCTTTAAGACCTGTTTCTCATCATATATGGGTAAATTTAGAATTTGCTTCCTTCTGGCCAGTGGAGTTGCACGCTGCAAATTACATGCCTTTAAGTAGCTAATCATATCCCAACAGTATAGCATTACAGACAATGATATGGAATGCCAGCCCTGCATGCTGGCTCAACAAATATAACAGCAAGCTCATCAGACTGCTCTAGTTAGAAGTTAACCTTCACTGCTGAACACCATCACAGATGTGGATTTTTATTTCCTTTTCTTTTTTTTCACAAGTGGTTCTTTGCTTTTCGTGTTGTTTTTACGATGTTTCTTTCATCATAATTTCTGATTCAAAAAACTAGATGTCAAGTGTGTGTCAAACCCAAAGAGTAGGTCAGATTTCTACTGCATGATGGAAGTGACTATAAATAGCTCTATGGCAATATGTCAAGATTCCCCTTTCAAAAACACTGCCAGATCCTATCCATGTGGTATGCAGTCTGCTATTTGTGTATACTGAGGCTCATTTCAGCCCAACTTACAAGATACTTCCCAAAAAGCAGCAAAAGAGCCATCTTCTACTTCTTCAGCTCTGGCATCTCAAACATACTCTTTTTTTCCTTCCTGTTTATTTGTGCCCTCCCCAACGAACATCACAGGAGTGATTTACCACCTCATGCAGCCTCTCTGTAACTCAGATTTTGTGTGCCGTAGAGGAAGCTTGTGAGAGACACCGAGTACATGAGGTACTTTCCAGTATTCAGCTTCTCACTGCAGAGCATTGCATTTTCCAAGATGCTGGCATCCCAACAATAGGATGTAGAGGGAAAAAATAATATCACAATGATATTTTCCTATTGGGTGGAGGAGAAGAAGGTGGAACAGAGGCAGTCCCTAGTGCTACTTAATCATAGAATCTAGAATGGTTTGGGTTGGAAAAGACCTAAAGCTCATCCAATTCCAACCCCCTGCCACAGGCTGGGAAACCTTCCCCCAGAACCCGCTGCT